CTTCGGTAAAACTTTAAATATAAATCGGTTTATTAATTAAATATATAATGTTTATTAAAATATTAACATAATATTTAACATTTATTAAATTAATATAGTTTTTAATTATATTAAGATAATACTTCGTTTTCGATATTATTACCGTTATTATTTAAATATCTTCATTATTTTTTCTTAAATTTTAATATTTTATTAAATATGTATAAAAATATAAACGTAAATATATCATTTTTTCATTATTAACGTTATTTTTAGGTATAAGTTTCCTTTAAACGATTAATATTTACTTGAATAAATTATATCATTATAAATTAAGTTATAAAGAATATATGTCAATTAATAAAATAAGGAAAAAAAACTTAAAATTTTAAGAATTTAATTAAAATGGAAAATTTTCTCGTTTAATATTAATCATAAATAAATAACATGATAATATTTAATCTTTTATTATATAATAAAGTTTAAAATAATAATAAATATAAATTAATAAAAGTTGTTAAAAGGGATAAAGTATAAGTTATAAAAAAATAAAAAGTTTAAATAATTTATTCACTTAATTAAATTAAAGTTATCTTTTTTAAAGTTTAAGGTTTTTATTTATAATAGTTATGATAATCGTTTATTATTTTCTTATTTTATTTTTAATATTTTCCTTCATTTATTAAAGATATTAATTTTATTTTTAAATGGCTCGATAATTTAAATTAATAATTTAAGTATTATTTATCGGTATAAAAAATGTTTTTTTATTTTTTTATATACCTTTTAATATATGGTTTTTTTTAATATAAGGTAATATACTTCTTTTATAATAATAATTATTATTTATAAAAGTCATGTTTATAATTTATTAAAAAGTTAATTATTAATTTTAACTTTAAAAATATATTTATAAATTAAGAATTTTTATTTAAAGGGATAAAGTTTAATAATAATTAATAAAAAGAAATAAATATAAAAGGTTTAATAATCTTTATAATAATTATTATATTAATAACCATTATAACATTATTATATTTAACGTTTTCATAATAATGGTTATTATATTAATAATTACCATAATATTATTATATTTAACATTTTTATAATGATAATTATTATATCAATAATTATTATAGCATTATTATATTTAACGTTTTCATAATGATAATTATTATATTAATAATTACCATAATATCATCATATTTAATATTTTCATAATGATAATTATTATATTAATAACTACCATAATATCATTATATTTAACGTTTCTATAATAATGATTATTATATTAATAACCATTATAACATTATTATATTCGACGTTTTTATAATAATAATTATTATATCGATAATTACCATAACATCATTATATTCGATATTTCTATAATAATGATTATTATATTAATAATTATTATAACATTATTATATTTAACGTTTTCATAATAATAATTATTACATTAATAATTATTATAGTATCATTATATTTAACGTTTTTATAATAATAATTATTATATTAATAATTATTATAATATTATTATATTTAATATTTCCATAATAATAATTATTATATTAATAACCATTATAATATTATTATATTTAACGTTAAATATAATAGTTATTATTATATCGATAATTATTATAACATTATCATATTTAATCTTACATTTAAAATCGTTTATGAAAACGTCTTTAATTAATACCATAAATAAAATTACATTTTTATGTTATCTTTTATATAAATTAATATTTCATATTAAATGATTTAATTTACATTTATGAAAACGTTTTTATTAGTTTATATTATAATAAAGTAAACGTAAAAAAGTAAACTTCTTATTTAATAAATTATAATAATATTAAAAATTTTACCTTTAAATATATTATTTATTATTTCTTTATTATATTTTATATATTCTTTATTATTAATGATATTAAAGTTATATACTTAAAATAAAAAAATATTTATACCATTTTAAAAAAAAGGTAAACATTTTTATTATATTAAGTTAAATTAATATAATAAAGGTATAAATTCTTATAAAGGTAAAATTATTAATATAATATATTTCTTACTTTCGCCATTATATAAAAAGTTTATATTTGGAAAAAAAGAATTTATAAATATAATAATATTATCGCTTACATTATTTATATAATAATAAAATATAATTGTTAATATATTATTTATCATTAAAATGATATATATATTTTACGCCTTTTTTTTAATTATTTTTCATATTATAAATTCATATATATATTTAAGTATCACATATATATTATTAAATATTTGATATGTTTCATTTATTATATATTATATTATATAATAAATAACTAAAATCTTTTAAAATTATTATGGGATTATTATGTAAAACTTAATTCAATCGATAAAACTAATTTTTTATTTAAATAATAATCGAAATTTATATTTATAAATAATAATATTATTTTCGATTATATTAATATTTAAACTTAAAACGTGGTTAATATAAATTTACCATTTTACCATAATTTAAGATAATTTAAAATATAATTCGAAAAAGTTTAATTAATTTTATTTTAACTTTATATAAATAAATATATATCTTTAACTTTTAACTTATATTATTATTAATTCATATAATATTAATGTTTAATTAACTTTAATCTCTTATTAAAAAATTATATATATTATTAATTAATGTTATATTATTAGAAATATATAATAAAATTAAGTATAATTAATAAATATTAAATTATAAAATAATTTATATTAATTTAAAACCATTTTAAACTTTATATAATAAAATAATTATAACGAATCCTTAAATCTTTTAATTTTCTTATCAATTCTTATTTTATTATTCTCGATAAATAAATATTTATTTATATAAATTATATTTTCTTAAATTAAGTTATATAATATTATTTTATTAATGTTAATTAATTACTTTTCGAAATTTATTTATTTATTTAAATATTTATAAAATAAAAAATAAGTAAATATTTATTTAAAATATATTTAATAAATAAGTAAAAATTTTATAATATTTTAATTTTTATAACGTTAATTATTTCTTTATTAATATCAATTCTTTTATTAATGTTATATATTTTAATTATGATTTTTTAAAGATTATTATTCATTATATTTTCATAATATATTTAAAGTTTTTATAATGCCTACTTTTAAAATATATTTAATAAGGTTAAATTAACATTAAATTAACTTTATATAAAAGATTTATCCTTAAAACCGAAATATTAATTTTAAGTAATAATATAAATTTATAAACTTTATAAAAATTAGTTTTAAAACTTTTAATATTACTTATAAAAAGTTAAATTTTAATTAAAGTTAAGTGAAATCTTTTAATTAAAATTTTAATAAAAAAAGATTATTTTCATCTTTATTTATACCATTTATTTATAATTCTTTTATTAATAATAATAGTGAATAACTAAAAATAATAAATAATAATAACTTTATAAATTATATTATTTAAGTTTTAATAAAAGTAAAGAAGATATTTATAAATAAAGTCATTATTTTAATGGTTAAAAATTTAAATATATAATTAACCATCACTTTAAATATGTTTAATAATTATTTAATTAATAATGACTATAATTTAAAATTAAGTGAACTTTCTTTTTTAATAATTATATATATAATCGAAATTATTATAATTAAGAATTTAAATTAATTTAATATTATTTATTAATCATTAATCATAAAGATAAATCTTATATTTTTCTTGATTTATTTATTTTAATATATTTTTTTATTTATAAATATTATTTTTAATGGATTTAATTACTTACGTAATAATAGTTAATATTATATTACCATAAAACCATATTTATATTAATTATAAAATAAATTAAAGCTTATTTTAATATTATATTATTTTACTTAATTATTTTAATAATATATATATTAAATGTTATTATAATAATTATAATAATAAATATTTATATAAGTTTAATATATATTTATTTATTTTAATTATAATGAAGTTTTTATTTTAATCATAATAAATGTAAATAAACATATTAAAATAACCGACGTATTTATTATAATCTTTATTTTATCTTTAACATTTAATAAAGTAAAATTATCTTAATCGATTTTAAATATTATTTCTTAAATAATTAAGAATTTTAAAGCTTAATTATTTATTATAATAAATTAAATTAAAGAATTTAAACGTTAAAAGTTAATTATAAAAATTTAAAATTATAATTAAAGAATTAATTTACCATTAAAAAAGATTAAATAATTATATATTTTACTTTAAATAAATTAAAAAAAGATTCTTAAAGTTAAAGTTAAAATTAATATATTATAATATTATAAATATTTACGATAAAACATATTAATTTTAATTTAACGCTTTTATTAAAAGATAATTTTATTAAAGTTTAAAAATTTATTAAAAGTTTAATTTAAAAAGGTTTAAATATTAAAAGTTTAAATTTATTAAAAAGATAAAATTTATAATTACCTTATATTTAAAATAAAAAATAATTAATCTTTTATATTAAATTAAGATAAATAATTTAATAAGCTCATTTATAAATATCATTAATTAATTATTTTAAGTTTTTTATTAAATTTTTATTAAAAAAATAAAAATAATATTAATATATATATTTATAACTTTTTCTTAATAATACTTTTTTTTAACTTTTTAATTAAATATATAATTACATAAATGTATAATTTAATATAAATGTATATTAGTTATGAATATCTTTATAACAGAATGTGTTATATCGTTTAAATATATAATTAAAATGATTTAGCAGTTTGGCGGATCTTTGGATATCGACCACCGTTGATTATGTAACAACCCACTCATACATATATGCTCCTTTCTAGACGATGCCCATTTACGAGAATGAATCACATCAATCCAATCAGAGCTATGTTATGATATGTTGTATACGATGACCAGAGTCAAAATAAATTGTCTTGGAGAGCAAATTTTCACACGCAGCAACTAATCCACCTCGAAGGTGGATCAAGTTCACGATCTGGCCCGACTAGCTCATCGGTAGAGCGCCTCACTAGTATATCTTCTCTCTAATATACAGGAAAGATATTCCATTAGGAATGAGGAGGCAACAGGTTCGATTCCTGTGTTGGGCATTATTTTTGAGCTTTCCGTTCGCAATAGAAGTCTTTCTCTTGAACTTTTATTCCCCATCCAGCTGGCTTCATCATCATGAGAGAATAGTTTTTGCCCTTCTTATTATTCAGGCACATACATCTGCTAATGGACATACAGTAAACCCATTCCCTGCATACCTCCCTCCCTAAATCAAGTAAAATCAAGCCTCGAAATGTTTGCACTTGAAGCTTGGGTGCCGTGAGGACCAGATTCCTCGTCCAATAAGAGTCTAAAAATGGATCCACTTGCTTGGACAAAACCTCTTCAGCTACAATACCAGCCTCACAACCTCACCGCAGCAACAGGCAAGATGGCCGAGTTGGTTATGGCGTGAGGTTAAGGTGATCACCCTTAGCAATAAGATCTAGCATCTAATTCCTCATGGAGCAATCCGCGTGGGTTCAAGTCCCACTCTTGTCATGTCTTTAATTTTTTCGCATTCCTAACAAATTTTTATTGGCGCGAAGCAATATACCTTCGCGGCCCTTTATGTGGTGGTATCCATATTAGGGCTGAGCCGTGGTTGGCCGGGTCTTCCAAACCGTGCTATAGTCAAGCGATAGGAGAGTAGTCAGATGCTGATTGGTTACGTTTTATAGATGGGTACAGTGGGTTCGAATTTATGATGCCCGGGTCTTTGAGGAGGCTCGCGATGGCGATTAGTAAGTTTCTCATTGCTCCATTGTAGGTCCTATAGGAGATGCTGGTATTCTTAACTTTAGCTAAACTACCCGGATTGCACGACGGGGTGAACCCCCCATTGATTTCTAGACTCGTGAGTTGAATCTTGCGTAACATCCGTTGCACTCTCATTAGCATATTATGTTTCGTGGCAAAGTGTCTGTATTAATGTGCTATGAATTGTGTATGCTGCTTGGTAGGCAAAAGAACGGGGGCTGTGCCTGGTCCAGCTCTATCCATGATGTTAATGTGGGTGGATCGCTGCCTTAGGTTCCTATTCATCAATGGCCCAATGGTGGAAATGCGTGATTGTATTCTTAATTGCCGCTAGGCTGTGAGAGAAGAGTCTTAGGGAAAATATTCCGTGCTTACCTGTATTATACCTTCAATTGGCAGATGAAACTCTCAGAAGTTGAACAATTCCAACCCGGCATCTACGTGTATGTATTATTTCAGAGGTATCTAGGTACATCCACATTTTAGGGAGGGCCTAAGATGGAGTGATAAGTGAGTTTAGGTTCGATTCCTATTAGCGCTATTGGTATCTCGCTTGTCGCTCCTATCTGCCTACACGCTAAACAGGGGTACTATTTGCCCCACGTGCACTACCAAGTTGGGCAGGAGGGCCTTGTTTCAAGGGTCTTCTAAATGGATCGCGTTGGCCTTTAGCGGTATCGATATAGGCACCTACGGGTAGGTACCTCCTATAGTGTACTGGACCCACATGAAGATGGCACCACTAGGACTCACTCAGCCTCACAGCCATCAGTTCGGGTCGCGAGATTCGCCTGCCTCCCCCTCACATCTTTCAGCCTAGGCAGAAATACAGATTTTTCTCTTTGTTTTGTTCCGAGTCGGCTGAAGGTATAACCTCATTACATCCACCTTGGGTTTCCAACCTTCTTCCATCTTAGCTACTAAGTCTTCAACAATGGGCAAGCCTTCAAATCTAGAGGGCGGCAAGGCAGCCGACGCCGTGTCGCTGCATACTAACCCAGGCGAGAGCTCCAGAGAGAATTATCGCGATGCCAAAATCCTCGACACTCCCGATCTTGCAATCGATGACTTGCCTCCAGATTACACCGAATCCGCACCGATGCTGCCGCCGGATATTGCACCGACGCCTGCTCCGAGCACTGGCCGAGCCGTCGCACAGCAGCCATACGTAGAAGATGCTACCTTCTACGAGGATAAAAACACCGGCGCGCATTACTGGTTGGCTAGGAGCCTTGAAAACCCGAAAGAACTCGAGAGACACATTCGCCATCTGGCTACCATCGCCCCACGACCCTTCATCAAGCTTGTCGGTACGCACACGGAGACGACTAGGGACAGCAAAGGCAAGACAGAGAAGAATACCGTCACCGACTTCGACGTCTCTGTTGAGCTGACGCCCTACCTATACTCGGACGCCCAATATCACAAATCATGGAGCTATCTGCGGACAGTGGATAATGGCGAGAAGACGCGACGTGGCACGATACTTAGGAAACGTGCTCCTGGCTCAAATCAGCACATCGAGGTTGGAGGCGACCCGAAGCCGACACTTCAGGAGTGGTGCCATCGGTATGCTGCTAGCCATGCGGGCCTGAAGGTCTTTGCGCTTTCTCGGAGGATGGTTGGGTTCGACGAGGAGCGCGTCAAGCACAAGCTGCGGCAACTGGTCAACGAGACGAACTACCGCGGCCATTTGAAGGTAGAGCTAGTGACCAAAGACTCGTTGGTCGAATGCTACAACGACACCAAGATAAATCACTGGCGCCTGACGGCGTGGATACAAATGCTATGCATTTTTACCCTGATGTTCATCTTCACATGGCCGTATCTATGGCTGCGGACGAAGAGGTGGGAGGTTGTGGTCGCTGAGTGGCCATTTTCACGCATGGCCGAGGGCGGCGGCAAGGAATACGTGAGCATCAGCGAAGATCAGTGGTATAACATGTGGGGCCGAGCCATCTGCAAGGCCGTGCTGGAAAAGCGACAGAAGGTATTGGACCAGTCTGACTTGAGACGAGCGGAGGAGCCAGAACCGACATTTGAGACCGGTAATTCGACTGTTGATGGTGCACTTGGTCTGTTCCGAGTCGGCATTAACGCTATGAACGAGGTGAATAGACACTTGGGTTGGGGCGGGGACTGCTAGAGGCATTCTCTAATACGTCGTCGCCGCTGTCTGCGTCGACTTTTTATTTATGCCATCGCTGGCTTGAGTTTCGGTTTTTTAACATGGCGAGCGCCTTTATGGGTGAAAGTTCTTCTTGTTATCATCAGCCTCGGAAGTATGCGTGTGTCGTTTCTATTGGGATGGTGACTTAGTGAAGATGAGGACCGTTTACCTAAAATATAAACAGGCTTAATGGGACGTGGTATTCACACATGCTGGGTATTGTGCTTTATACTCGATACACATCTACAGTGCATCCGGTTGTTGATACTGTATTTCCCTCCGTATGAAAACTGCATAGCGGGGTTAGTCATCTTCACATTTACAAACCGAGATTTCCAATAACCCTGTGACAGTGAGAGTATTTATAGATGTGGTATCTATGCCGACCTGATGGCTTGGTATATTGAATTATTCATATCGAAACTACCTAAATTCATATATCAAGATGGTGCTTATTCGTGCTGCGCTCATCGGACACCTCGTCTACAAAGATATGTTGAGCTGAGAACGGCTTGCCACATCTCCTCTCTCCACGAGGAAGATCCCACGACGGGGTTGTGGCCTTGCTGAGTTCATCTATTCCTGCTGCAGAAGCTTCCCACCGGATGTGAAGGCCTTTGGCTGCCCGAATGCCTTGGCATCAGATCTAGATGTCGATCTGGTCGTCTGTTGCACTCGAGCCGACACTCATTACTTCACTATGGGACTATATTTTTGGTCTGGGAGGGCTGTTTATATAGAGTGGCCATTGGTCGAAGACTACAAGGAAGTAGTTGCCTTGACGGAGAAGAAGCCTCTGGACAATAGTATCATTGGACTTCAGGGCCATCAAGCTGGATAGGTACACTAAAGATGTACGGTAAGCAACTGAGCCTGATCTAAATAAAGTGTTCCGAGCTCGTCAGTGATTCTTATAGCTAATTCGAGGTTGCCGGGCTAGTAGATGCAGATGCAATTATTGTAAGATGGCCAGCCACCCGGAGGAGACGTCGAGTTGGGCAAAAAGGAGCCGCGGATAACAAGATTCGATCCCGAATGTCAGACCATCCTGCTCATATTGAAAGTTGGGAAATATCATATCATGAACCGACCCTAGTCCATGCCTATACATCATCACGCCCCCTATCTTATTCGCGTTAGGAAACCGTTGTTTTCTTTAACCATCAACATGTCCCCTAGCGAGACGTGCTCTGTTGACCCCGGGAACGACGGCGGGATGGCGATTGGGGTAGGGAGTATATACATGTCTGACATTTTGAAGAGCACCGCAACACACGTCGATGAACCATCTTGTTCAGCGTGGGTATTTGAATTTCGAGCGAGTAGGTGGTTCACTCGTGGCTCGACGCTTTAGGAGTTGAGGCTGCATATGAACATGGGGTCATGCGGATTGCTTCGACTCATCACACTGCCCGCCCTACCAATATCATATATCATATGTGACGAGGGGTAAAATGGAATGAATAAGTGATTAACAGGGCTTAAGACTGTGCTAGAGCGTAACGCCATGTATATGGGGGCCATGCCGCCGCATTCCTTCGTTATGATTACCTCGTTCTCTAACCAATAATGCTTGACAAGTCAACATCTCCATTGAGATTTTGTCTCTTGTATTTTCTGCATTGGCCTTTTGTGTAACCCCGCACTGATCGTGGAGGCGTCGTTGTACCAGACTCAAAATAATCATCAGGCTCCAGAACGGTTAATTCTTCTCGCTAAAGCCACCAGACTCGAAAGCGTCGTTCTATAAGAAGGACAGCCAGCTATATGGAAACTATGCTACCGGCTGGATCAATGTAAGGGCCTCTCGGACTTTTATCTCGTCCTTCTGAGCCTGCCCCTTCGTTGTCTCATGATGCAACTATCCTGCCAAACACTACTAACTTTTGGTTGTCGCACAGGGCACGTTCCTGATAAACACGATAACTCATCAACTGATTCAACAGTATCTCTCAAAACTCTTGTCTGGGATGGCTACTTCTCTGAGTTACTATGAACAGGGAGCTGCGATAGCTTCGGGCGATGTCCCGCTGCGATTCTATTCCATGGCCTCGTGGGATGGGGGATCCCCTACACCCAAGTTCGATATGCAGGGCATCTTCGACGCGATTGCACAGGGTATGACGACCG